TATTTCTTTGTCTTTTAAACTCTCTAAAAATCTCCTTTTAATTTTCAGATTCAGCCAAAGCCATAGTGGTTAAGAAAGTTCTTGAGGAAGTAGACCAGCGCAGCAAAATACTCACCACTAGGCTCCACTCCCTGGAAGAGAAATCTCAAAGCAACTAACAGAACATACCAAAAGCCCACAAGAAGAAAAGACATCATATGTGTCTAGGAAAATGAGCAAATCTAAGAAAAAAAAGTCTGTCCTGTTGTCTTTCTGTCCTTTCTCTTTCTTGGCAATCAGCAAAAGAAGTCCCCATCCACCTGGAAAGATGTCACATACAAAAATGATGACTCAACTGATTACCCCACAGCAACCTTTGCCTTCAATAAACCTTCCTTGAGCAATCATTAACAATGGTGCTGTCTTATCTTTGAAATGTTCATGGTTGTGGTGCAAAATATGAACGACTGATTGCTTTTGATTTATGAGAAAAGTTTAAAAAATGATGAAGAGATTTCCCTCTAGATTTTCATAAAGATTTCCAGACAAATTCTGAAGGAGTAAAAGCACCTTTGCTTACATTATTAATCTGCCGTATTTTGACATAAAAGCTTATTTCCTTCGTAATAAGTGTTTGCATGTCCCATTCTTCATCTGTATAGGGAACAATGAAAGAATTTGCTTCAAATTATTATAAAGGTGAAACAAAGTGTTGTAAAGTGTACTTATTGGGTAAGCACTTGCCGATAATATTCTTTCCCTGGGGGCGGGGATGTAAACAATGTCTACTCCTCATTCTAAGGTCCCAACAACAAATCAAGATATAATTCCACCAAAATTCATTCTGGGGGAACCAATTAGCTTATTAGGATTACTTGTAGACCAACAGGTAAGGGTCTTATGAACAAGAGGGTGGGTGTCTTTAATTTTTTATATGTCAGAGTGTATTGCCTGCATGTATGTAAGTGCACCCATGTCATGCAGTACCTCCAGAGGTAAGAAGGCATCAGATCCTCTGGAACTGGAGTTATAGATGGTTGTTAGCCATGATGTCGGTGCTGGGAATCGAACCCAGGTCCTCTGAAAGAGCAGCCAGTGCTCTTAACTGCTGAACCATCTCTCCAGCCCCAAGGATGGGTGACTTTTAAACAGCTACACTGTAGAAGGTCTGCTCCCAGCATGGATGATGACTCCCCCATGGCTGCACAGGTGGAGGAGACCCACCCCTAGTCCTTCCCAGCCTACATACTCTAGCCCCTCCCCAAGACCATAAGACCATATGTAATTAAGGCAGAATTTCATACAACTGCTTGTGCAGGTCCCCTTACTTGACAACTAATCTGCTTATACTAAAATATAACATGACAAGTTAGATCTGCTTGATTGCATAAAAAGATGTGCTTCAGGGCCAGCAAGCTCAGTGACTAAAGAGGTTTGCTACCTCCAAACCTCACAATCTGAGTTTGATCCCTGGGACCCAAATAGTGGAAGGAAAGCTGACTCCTGAAAGTTCTTCCCTGACCTCCACATGTATACTGTGGCACATGAGTGTCCCCAGTGACGTGTTTCCTCCAGCATGGCCACACCTTCTAAGACCTCCCAAAACAGCACCACCAAATGGGGACAAAATGTCCAAATACTTGGAACTTATGGGGGACATTTTCATTCAAACCACTACATCTACCTAGAATTTTTTTTAAATAAAATTTACTTAAATGTACACTTTATTGTCATTAAGTACATTCACAGTATTGTGTGACCAACTTCATTGTCTAGTTCCAAACTATTTTCATGACCATGAAAGAAAACCAGTACCCATTAATCAGTTTACTCCCTAGTCCCTTCACACACACACAACATACACCCCTCCTTCACACCCCTGAGAAGGCATGTCTATGGATATCAGTACTATTCATTATAACCAAGAGGTGGTGAGAGACCTGAGTGACTCCATCTTGGATAAAACCTCCTGAGGACTGACCCAGCCCTGGGCCCTGTTCCAAGAAAAACCACAATACTTGGAACAGATAGAGAACAACTCCCCCGCCAATGGTCAATTAACCAGGGACAGGAAAGTACTAAAAGTCCAGATATCTTTTCAGATTTCCTGAATCCAGCAGTTTATGGTTTGGCACTGGGCTGCAACCAATCAGATCCTTGCCAGGCTGGAGACCCCCTACTCCCCTACTTGCTGAACTTGCTGAAATAAACCTATAAAAACCTCTGTCTCCCAAAGCAAGGGGTCTCAATTCTGAGATCCGCTAGGTCGGTGACAGAGTGGGCCCAAGCTTAAGCTTGTAACAATAAAAGAACCCTTGTGTGTTTGCATCGGTCGGCTCCTTGGTGGTCTTTGGGGTCTCGTGAACTGGGCACAACAGTGAAGAAAGAACAAATTTCCATCAAGGATGATGGGCAAGTGTGTGCTAGATACGTTCAGTGAGGCCTTAATCAACCAAGATAACTGAGGTCTCAAGGCGCAGTACAATGTGGACGCACCTTGGCAACAGCACAGGAAGTGGCAGAAGCCAGACCCTAGAGGCTGCATCTTATATGCTTCTATTTATATGAAACCCCCAGAACAGGGACAAGTTTGCAGCTACATGAGAGGAATAAGTTGCAGTGTTCTACTACACAGAAGGATTATAGTAGCCAATGATACTGTGTGATTAAAAAAAAAAACTAGAAGAAAGGATTTTAAGTGTCAAAGAAATGCTAAGAGGAGGGATGACTAACACTAAAGTCCTCTGAAAAAGTCATATGGAAACCTACTTCTGTAGAAGCTTCTTCAAATATATACATATACAATATAAAAAGAGTTTAAATGGAGTTACCCTATAAATGGAGGTTCAATGGCCCTGTTACACCCAGGCGAGAGGATACAGATCACCCACACACACATAAACCAATTAAAAGGGAAAGGAGTCCTTTATTGATCATTGATAAGGGCATGACTGAAATTGACTAGTGCTTTTGAAATTCCCTCAACACTGAAGCTCAGGGGTACAGAATTTATAAAGGGAAAAATCGCAAAAATCATAACGACAGTTTAGACCAGATGGAAGCCAGTGAGATAGTGCTACAGTAGCCACTTTGTCTAGGCTTGAGCAGCTGTTTTGGCTATACTTCTAGGCCACAGTCAGGATCTCGAAAAGCCCTGAATGTGTTGCTGGGGAAGGCTAGCAGCTGGGAAGAATGCCAAGACAGACAGAACCTGGAGTCAGGACCGGCCCAGGACAAAATGGAGTTTCTTTAGCTATTTCTGCCCTGCCAGATACCACAGACTAGCAAATAAAAAGCCTAATGCCAGGAATGGACTCCCTCTTTTGATATTGTTGACAAGAGATGTCTCATAAAATCTCAAACAATACTGGCCATTGCTCTTGGTTACCCACCAGAATTGACAGTAAACCTGATTGCTGAAGACACCACATACCTAAGATGCAGAACAAACAAGGAAAAATCAAGCTGGTACTGATTTTAGAGTGTCATCTTTACTGAATAGCTTTCATAGTACTAGAAGGTGCTGTGCATGTTACTAGAAGAGAAAGGTAGTCATCAACCTTACCCATCTGTGAATGCTGCAAGTTACAATAATGACTGGCCTGGCAAGATAGGGCCGCTGGTACAATAGTGACACAGATGTTATGGGAGTAACCAACTACCTTATGCTTGGATTTAAGGCCCACTTAACAAAATGGAGCTCATATCTGACACTGTTATAAAGGACAAGAACCTGTGGCTAGACAGGTCACAGGCCTTATAAGAGAAACTACTACTATCATTCTGCCAAATACAGTATTAAACTGTCTCCTAATGACTTACTCTTATACCCATAGATTAGTGCATTTCTCAACTCTCCTTAGAGAAACTTCTTGCAACATATGATAATTAACACTGAGGCCCACGACTGGTCAACCTAAGGAGAGTAAGAGACTGTGGACTACTCAGGCCTAAATGGGACATCTATGTCACATTCTCTCCTCCCAAGGCTCAGAGATCATTTCAGAAGAGTGGGCAGAAAGACTGTAAGAGCCAGAGGTGGTGGGCGAATATCAGGAAACCATGTTGTCTGGACAGTGCAGGGTAATTGCACATATGATCCCACAGTGCTTGTGGCAGCATGCACAAGACCTATCCAAGCCCAAGTCAAACAAAAACCCAACATGGATGGGGAGGTGGACAACAAGCCCCAGCTTCAGCTGAGGATCTAAAGGCAACTGATAGCTACTTGGAGAGGAACAGTCAGTTTTCTTTACTGGTGTGATGCCTGGTAGGTTGACCAGGCTCCAGGAGAATGACACATCTAAGAGCATTTGAGGAACACAGATTAGAATTGATAGACCTTTAAAGAAAATAAAATAAAATAATAAAAAAAATTTTTTGGTCTTTTGAGACAGGGTCTCCCTGCAGCCCCAGCTGGCCTGGAACTCACTATGTAGACCAGGTTGGCCTTGAACTCACAGAGATC